TAATAATAATAATAATAATAATAATAATTTGTATCCTGTCTCTCTGTGCAACACAACTGAGGCGGCTTACAGGATAAAACATACAACCCTGTCGTCTCCCCACAGCCCACCCCCAAAGCCCCCCAATGTAAAGAGCCTCCTCCTTCTCCCTCAGGCGCTGCTGCCTCTGGTCCTGCCTCCTTTTGCAGGCGTCCTTTTGCAGCCTCTGCCCATGCTGCTGGCCATTAAGAGGTCCAGCTTGGCGCCCAGAGGATGCAGCCTGCCTCTGCCTCTGCCTCTGCCTCAGTCCCTGACCCTTTGGCCATGCTGGACCCCACAGGTAAGTCCTCCCTTCCCACTCTTCACCGAGGAAGAAGAGAAACACACCTTTCCCCCTTCCTTTCCTTTCCTTTCCTTTCCTGGAGCCCACTGCCAAGGGATGGACATGAAAATGCAACACATAAAGAGTAGTTGGTGGTAGGGACTAAAAAAGGTACTTTCTGAGGAGGAGGAGGCAGACTTTTTGGGGTCTTGCATGCAAGGAGGACTCTGAAAGGAGGATTTGTTTGTTTAGAAAAAACCAGGCTGGTCTGGGTGAGTCTGGGATATCAGGAGGCAAAGGGCTGCACACTAGGACATAATACAAACATAAATACAAACAAAGAAAGGGGACAGGGTTGATGGTTGGAGCCCTGGGGACTCATAGATTTATTTTATTTTATTTTATTTAAAAAAGACAAGTACTTTCTGAGGTGGCGGCCAACTTGGTCCTCTTTTTCCTCAGGATTTGTCCTCCATTTCAGCCTTTCTGTCCAGGAGGAATTTCCAAAAAATCCTCCATTTAGAGCAGGGCTAAGAAGCGTGGATTTGCATTTAGAGGAGTGTTTTTTTAATGCTCAGGATGACCAGCCGCCCTCCTGTTCCAGGACTTGTCCTCCATTTTAACCTTTTGTCCAGGAGAATTTCCAAAAGGTCCTCCATTTAGAGCAGGGGTAAAGCATGGATTTGTATTTATAGGAGGGCTTTTTTTTAAGCAACTTTTATTTGGTCATTTTTTTTTCTTGACCAAATTTCTTCCCCCCATGGCCCTACACTTTTTCGGTGCCTTGTCCTCCTTTGTAGTGAGGACTTCTGGTCACCCTGCATAGATCTGTTTCCTATCTTTAACTAAAGCAAGGTGACCAAAGATCCTCCTTTTGCAGGACCTGTCCTCCGTTTCAACCTTTCTGTCCAGGAGGAATCACAAAAGGTCCTCCATTTAGAACAAGGCTAAGAAGCATGGATTTGCATTTATAGGAGTGGGTCTTTTTTTAAGCTCAGGGCGATAAGCCATCCTCCATTTCCAGGACATGTCCTCCATTTCCACCTTCTGCCCAGGAGGATTTCTAAAATGCCCTCCATTTGGAACATGCCGAAGAAGCATGGATTTACATTTGCATGAGTGTTTTTCAGTTTTTATTTTGTAATGTTTTTCTTGAATATCTTGGACCCTGTGCAGGGAGGGAGGATTCTGAGGGTAGGATTCAAAAAGACCTAGCCAGATTAGTCTGGAAAATCAGGATGCGAAGGGATCTTGTAGCACCTTTAAGAGAGAGATGCATCCCTTCCCACCCAAGAAATGGAGTGATGGTAGGTGAACTGTCCTGCCTTGTGGTTTCAGCAATGTTGTGGCTGGGAGGACATATCCTCAAGCCAAAGTCTGGGCAAATCCAGCTAAAAGGAGAGATTTATCCAAGGAGAACAAGTGTGTTGAGTGGAACTGTGAAGAAAGAAGGGTCTGGAACTGGGGAACTAAAGGGACAGCAATTCATTGTCCTCTGGCACTGTAGCTAACAATGTCTGCAAACACTTGTTGTGTGTCTTCACGCTGTTTCTGACTTACAGTGAACCTATCATGGGGTTTTCTTGGCAAGTTTCTTCAGAGGAAGTTTATCATTGCCTTCCGCTGAGGTTGAGAGAGTGTGACTTGCCTAAGGTCACCCGGTGGGTTTCCCTAGCTGAACTGAGATTGAAACCCTGGTGTCCAGAGTCATAGTCCGACACTCAAACCACTAAGCCACGCTGGCTCACATACCACCAAAGAAAGGAAGGAAGAAATTTCAATAACATATTGTTAATGATGCTTTGAATGCTCCACCGGCAGTTCATCCCAACTTTTGTTGTGATTGAAATTAAGACTATATTTTAGCTATATGCAAGTTGTATACATGAAGCATGATCTTTTCTCTTCCTGTCTCGTGCAACATTGTATTTAGATTTTTTAAAAAAAGTTTGGAGATGCTCTTTTGACACTACGTTTCACCTTATTGCTTTGGGATAGTTTCACTGCAATGGTCTTGTCAGCCCTCAAGCTAATGAGGTTCTTCCATTCTGCAATCAAACTGTCACTTTTTCTGCCCTAGAGAAGACTGCAGTGGACATAAATCTGGTATTGGGGATACACACACACACACACAAATAAATAAATAAATAGAAGACCAGGAACCTTGCGGAATGCTTTGGTCTGAAATTGGCATTCTGAATCTTGTTTAGTTGCCTAAGAAATACTAGTAATGTAAAAACTTTTTGTTTTTACAAATTGAGTAGAAAGGATCCTTGTACGTGCTTCTTATAGTTAATATAACTATAAGTTATATTAATATAATTATAAGAAGGTTATTGGGCTTTTTTAGGGTGGAGAGAACTGGTATATTAGAGAAGCTTCCCATGTTAAGAATTTCAGTAGCTATCCCTTGACTAAAATAGTGGATATATATGGTTTCAAGAGTGAGGATCCAGCCCAGGTTGAGCCCAGGTCCCAGGGGTGCTCAGCGCACCTCCTTTTGAAACCAGGAGTTTTCCTACTTTAAAAAAATGGCCTCTGGAGCACTCCTGGGGCCAGGGCTGGACACGGGAGGTGGATTCAGTGGCAAAATCCCTGGAATAGTATCTGCCCCAATTAAATTTGAATTTGGGAGAGGTAAGACATTTTATTTAGCAATGCAATAAGCTTCCTAGTCTTCTGGCTTAGAACCAGATAGAAGAGT